ACTACCAGGAACCGGACTACCATGTGTCGTCCTTCCCCTTTTTCGCCCAGACGGATGGGTAAATCCACTCGTCCCACTGGGTGGACGACTCCTCCTCCAAACCCTACTAAAGGGTGGGAGGCCGGATGTATGCAATCAGTCTGATATTTTAGTTTCGACAGACATTTGCTACTGATGAGATCTGAGGAGCTTCCGGTATCTATGAGGATTCGGCCAATTCTCTGGTTGGCCACTTTACATTCAATAACGATAGGGTCGTCATGCGGCCCTCTTACCCCTCCTAGATCTTCTTCAGTGATGACAATCTCAGGAAATGAATATTTGGAGGGCCGTTCTTGGTGAACGGAATTTACATCTAACCGCCTGATATTGTCTTTGTTGCCCCTAATAGTGGGGCCGCCTCCTGAGAAGCCGCCTGCAATGGTGTAGACGACTGCATCATCTGTATCGGAGCTGTCGGCCTGTTGATTCTTTTTGGCCGACTGCTTTTTTGAGGAAGTGTTCCCCGTAGATTTCTTGACATAAGTGTCAAGATTACCTTGCTCAGCCAGGCGGTCCAGATACCGCATGAGACTGATGCATTCATTGGTGTGATGACCAACATCTTCATGATAATCACAGAATTTTTCTTGGTTCCGATAGTTTGCAGAACCCTTCATGGGGACCGGCTTCTCAATTGAGATTCGTCCCTTGATTTCCTTTAGGATAAATTGGCTATCCTTGTTAAACGCATACTTTGGGGAGTATGGTTTGAATTCTTTTTTCTTTTTCTGGGCCGGCTGTTTAGAGGAATCAGCCGCCCAGACCTCTTTTCTTTTCTCGTCTTTGTTTGACGACTGTTTCTGTCGTCCTTCTCTTTTGTCGAACCTTTTCCCGTCCGACTGTTTTCCCGTACTACAAAGATCAGTCGCCTGTATATAGGCTTCCGCTTCAATCAAGGCCTCTTGAAGAGTCGCCACCTTCTTTCGGACCAAATCAAATTTGAAGGTCGACCCGTCTTTGAGACCTCTGAAAAAGTCAGTATAGGCTACTTCATCCGGTAACCCTTGAATCTGTATTCTCATCAGGTTAAACCGCCTGATGTAAGAACGAAGCCCCTCCTTCTCGCCCTGCTGAATTGTTCCTAAATCAAGGGTCGTCTTCTTCGCAGGGATGTTCATGGCGAAGTTGGAGGTGAATAAGTAAGCAAGCGTCCTGAAGTTATTTACACAACCAGTCGGCAGGTTGCCGAACCATTGTTGTGCGATTCCTTTGAGAGTCGCTGGGAAACACTTGCACCAGGTGGGATCATCCAACCCTTGAAGGTACATCAGGTTGGTGATGGTCTTCTGGGTTAGTAGTGCCGTCATAGGCGCCTACTAATACATTTTTCACTTTGGCCGGCTGAGCGGCTTCAGTAATTTCCTTGGAGAAGGCCGACGGCTGTTCACCAAGTCTAAGCAACCGTAGCTGCCAGTCCATAGGTTGGACATTTTTTGCTGCATGTCCACCAAACAGAGGTGGTTGTAAGAAATACTGTTGTTGCGGTACAAACGGTAAGTTTGGTACCGCCTGGTCGCTATGATAGCCGGACTGACGGGAGGTGCCGCCTGACTGACTCTCATGATACGACTGAGTATGCCTCATCGACGTATTTCGCAGACTGTCTTTGAAGTTTGAAGTAGAGGCCGACTCTGACAATCGGTCACTCTTCTTCTGCTCTAGCAGTAGCCGAGCGTCTGTGTATGTTTTCCTCGACCCGTCCGCCTGAATATGACGAACAGGTTTCCTAGTTCCTGGAGTAGGAAAACGGTATTTTGTGAAATCAAGGGCAGTCGGCTCCCGCTTCCTAGATTTAGGATGAGGAGTCCCCTCTCGCCCTTAAACTGGCTTCCTCTTCTGTGAAGTGGAGGGTTTCTTAGCCGACTGCTCCTTGTCCAGAGCAGGCGGCTTCTGTTTGATCAACTCTTGAATTTCTCCCTTGAAGTCCCTCATGAAGGTCATGAGTTCGTTCCTTGTGATGGGAGCAGACCCATCAGTCGGCTGCTGCCGAACAGGCGGTGCGCCTGCTGGCTCGCTTCCTGGATGAAGATGTTCCCGTTCCCTCCTTTCGGTATGACGGGTACGTCGGGCCCTTAGGGTCCCGTCTGAAGCTGTGTGAGCTTCAACTTCAAATTCATTCTTAGTATCGTGGTCCGACTGAACTTGAGGGTCGTCTAGGGGACGCCTCTCTTCAGGAGTCGGTACAAACGTGGATGCCATCTCAGAAGTACTCTCCCCACAGACGGCGCCAAATGTTTCGGGGTTTTCTGATGTCCTGTGGGAGAGTTACAATTCCGAGACTGGAACCGGACGCCTGTACCTGCAAAACAACGGAGACTCCTGGTGGTGGGAGCTCCGCCTCCAACGGTCAAGTTAGTACTTGATTAAGGAGTAATTAATGCGGAAATTAAAGTGATTGGGTCTCTCTAGGTGAGAGTGTTTAATGTAGGTAATCTGCTTTTTTAGCGTGATCAGCCTGTTATTCATGTAATCTCCCTTAATGAGGATTAAGGTAGGTATTTATAACCTTGGGAAACGTGCTAATCCTAGGTTTAGGTTAACCTAGGGCTGATTGGGCTTCCCTACTTCCTGGTGGCCGGTTTCTCCATTAGGCATGGAGTATGCCACGTGTCATGACATAATAGGTCCAAGGTGGACAAATAAGCGGGTGCCACGTGGCAAGCCCTGACAGTTCCAACTGAGGGACACTTGGCAGGACCTGATTGGCCCACGTGGCGCATTCCGATTGGTGGGAGCAAAATCCCCTAATCAGGCAATGTGTTGAAACAGGTTCCTGAAGTCGAGTGCCCAAAAATTGGAATCACAACCGGAATTTGCTATTTAAACCCAGGTCATAAATTAACGCAAGCCTATTCCTAATTAAAAAAAAAAAAAAAGATAGAATAACAATATAGGCTCAAATCATAAAATAATATTCATGCTCAAACTATATAATACATTGTTTTAATTAAATGACTATTCAAGTTTATGAAATGACATGGTATCTTGAATCTTAATCTAAATCAGGTGGTTCCAATTCTGGTTTTGCTTTTGAGGAACCCGTTGCAACTATTTCAGATTTAGGAAAATTTTGACTGTGCTGTTCACCCTTAGAAATAAGAATATCCATCACAATGGCACCTGATTATTTTGAAAGTAAGATAAAAAGACAACTTATTCCTGAAAGGGTAGATGTAATTAATTGATTATTGGGCAAAATATGGCCACCGGAATATTAACAAGCTCCCAATCACTCTTTCCCCTCTTGATTATCTATTTCTCCCTTGTCACTTAATTTTTGTTCAATTTGCTCTTTCTCTCTCTCAATCTACTTTAGGTTACTTGACCGGGGGGGGGGGTGGGGTGGGTGGGTGGTGGTGTTAGGGTTTATGAAGGGTTTTGATGGGGTGGTGGTGACTACCAGTGGTGATAATGGTGGGGGCAATGGGATGGCAGTGGAATTTGGTGGGTGTGTAAGTGGTGCAAAAATGGATGTGATGGTGGGGTTGATGAGGGTTTGGTGATGGTGGGGCATTGGTGATGGTGTTGGTTGGTGGTGGGAAGTCTGCTGGAGGTGCTACTGGGGCAATGGGTCTTGGTTGGATTGTGGCAGTGAAGTGGGGTGGGCTGCCAGACTGCCTTTCCTCTAATCACATGGATGATAACGTAATTAAGTCCTTGCATATAATCCCTTGCAATTTCTTTATAAGAGGAAGTACAATTTATGTATGAGATCAATTTCTATTTATGGTGCTTGGGGTCCTTCTGTTTAAAAGTTTTACTACTTTATAGTTTCAATTTGCGTAATATAGACAGATTCGCTACTTGGTTACTTTTTAGACTTCTGTTTAAAGGTTTGCATGTCATGAAGAGAAGTACTAGCACTCAAGGAAGCCTAACTATCTCATAATCTTCAGCTGTAAAAGCTTTTTTTTTATTTTACCAGATCAAACCTTTTTTTTATCACCCCATCTTATTATTTGCACAACAATTAACCTTGTTTCTATGTGTAAATACCTCAATATGTGGTCCCTGTACCTTTTATTTTTGTAGTTTGTAGGCTGAGATGGTTGTGTGGAAACACCTTAATCAATATAATTAGGATTGAAGATATTAGGAGGATAGTTGGAGTTTGGTTTGGGCATGTGAGACTAAAATTTAGAAGATGTGCTGGTGAGGAAAGTAGAGGGTTTGGATCATGGGGGTCTTAGAAGAAGATGATGGAAACCAAAGGTGACTTGGATGGAAGATTAGAAAAGATACTAAGAGTTTGGGTTTAAAAGTCCTATACGAACTTGATAGGAAGGAATGGAGGGATGATCATAGCAGGTCACTATAGGAGAATAAGGAGATACAGTAATGTTTCATGTAGCCGACCCCATCATTCTGGTTAAGGCTTTTATTGCTGTTGTGGGGTTAATATTTTTTGTATTATAAATATTATATTTTGTACTTTCTGTGTAACTGTCATTTTCAAAGTAGCTGTTTGGGTCTTTTTTTGTGGTTCTCATCACTCTCCATTTAAGGTTAATTTATTCTGCTTATACACTTTATTCCAATTTTGGCATACTATGTTAACCACCTTACTCCTCTTACCCTGCAATCTTTACACCTTCCACAACCTCCTTACTATTTCTTACACTCATACTATTTTTGACACTCTCTTACTTTATCTTATGTTCACCTACTTTCTTACACACAATCTCTAACTTTTTCTTACACCCACTCATCTTTTCATCGTTTTCTTAAATTACGTATATTTAGTGAGTTGATAAAAAGTACGGAGGTAGTATATACTGTGAGTTGATCATGAGGGTCTTGCTTTTGGTGCTTGTTTAGTGGTCGATGTCACTTTTTTGTATGTTTTAAGAATTGTTACTTTTTGGTCTAGTTGGAGGACAGGAGATTACATCAAAATAGATTGTGTAACTTATACTGTTTCTATTATTTGTTATATAATCTGCATGTGAATTTTGCAGGATCCTCAGCCTGAGTATAGTCTTTTTGCTACCATTGTGCATTCAGGATTTTCACCTGAGTCTGGACATTATTATTCATACATTAAGGTTCACTTCTGACCTTGTACATGCATAATTTGCGGACTTAATGAATAGATCTGTCATTGGTTGCTTATTATCTTTTTATTTGGTTTTCCTTTCTTTTTCTAATATATGCAGGATGTGATGGGTCGTTGGTATTGCTGCAATGATTCTTATGTGACATTATCAACTTTGCAAGAAGTACTTTCTGAGAAAGCTTATATTCTTTTTTTCACCCGGAATGGCCAGAGACCTGTTGCTGTTGATAATACTGCTGTGTTAAATGGAGTGAAGCCTTATAGGATTAATGGCAGCAACATGCCTAAATCTCTGAGGAGCTCTATTCCTGCAAAAGTAATGAACATGAAATCATCTAATGCACCTTCTCTTGTTAAAAGCATTCCATTTGCTAGTAAGAATGTTGATGCTTCTGCTATTCTACAAAATAAATTAAGTGGCATCACAAATTCACTTGCTAAAAGAGTTTCTGGTAGTGATAGTGGGACAGTTGATGTTCAAAAAAAGGAAACTGTGAGAAGTAATGGAAAGCCGAGCCATTCTGTTTGTAAGCAGATGAATGGAAACAATGTGCATTCAATGCAAGATAACAATGGAAAGTGTAGCAATGGTGAACATAATGCCGTTGCAAGTAGCCAGGTTTTGATAAATGGTGATACTCATCTCAAGAATGGGAATCTTGGTCCTGTAAAAGGAAGTCTCTGTGAAGACAATGGCTTAAAAAACAAAGAGACTGCCAGGAAGGTGATTGATAATGGCGTCATCCATAATGGTCAAAGAAATGAGCGCAGTGATTTCTCTGGCCCGAGAAAGCTGGAAAATGGAGAGAATGCAGGGAAGATGCTCGACAATGGTGCCCTTCATAATGGTCAGAGTTATAATTTCCCAGGCTCCAAGAGAAATTTGGAAGACAGGGACTCGTGCATTTTGTTAGCCCAAGATGCCAAATCGCGGGCTAAAGTTGAAGAATTTAAGGAACTGTATGTGTTTTTATTCACAACTCTCTCTTCTTCTTCCATCCCAAACCCCCAATTCAAGAATTTCTTACGTCACAGAACATGTGGAATGATTCTCCTGACCAACACATTCCTTTTTATATTATATAATAGCTACTTTTGAGTTATGAAATAACGTTCTTAAATAAAAACAGAGATATATGAATATTAATTGGTGATGAATAAGAAGAAAAGGATGATATGCTTATTTACAACTGAGATTGTAGTAAGTTTGTGCTTGTTGCACTCTTTGTTACTGGTGTATCTTTGTTTTGCATGATGTCTTTTGAATTTATTTAGGTTTGAGCTGAATATAATAGCGTATAGATGATAAGATATATTATATAATTTGTTTAGGTGATTATTACATGATATCCATATCATATGATGCTTATTCAGATTTACTTCCAAATCGAGTAGAGTTATGTTTTCTTGTCAATTTCATGTAAGAGATTGCTAGTACTAACATATGCTTTTGTGCACCAGTTTACTTAAATGCTGAATTTATTTCTCAAGAATTTTTCTTATATTGATATTTTACTGAATCTCCAGTCTTCAAAAGGAGGCTGCATTAGCTCTGCAAACATGTGGCTGGTCTGATAAGGTTTATGAATACATGAGATCAAAGAAGAGGGTGTGTGTGGATGCTTGCAGCTCAACAGATAACAAAGAGCCAAAGTAAGTCTTACAATTTAAACCTAGATCATTGTTCTTATCTTGAACAAGGTTGGTCAAAATAGCAAAGTTATTGTATATTGAATTGAATTGGGTGAAATGCTGAACATTTACTTTTACATTGATTGATAGTTCTTTTTTTTGACATAACTTGAACAAAGCTGTTTGCCTGCAGTCAAAGCTTTGCATCTCACATTGTTTTTAATTTGAATGAAAGTACAAAGTTTTGCATCTCACATTGTTTTTAACTTGAATGAAAATACCACTCTCTAATATTGGGCAGAGTTAAGTTGTTAGGTTTGACTCTTATAGAAGGGGAGGGCATGGTCATGAATATTGCATTGTAAATTGAAGAACAAAGGAGGCTCATAGATAAGCGACGAGAAGGAAAGATCTCAAATTTGACAGTTAGTTGCAGTAGTTCTTAGATTGTGGACAGTTCTCTTTAGTGATTTACTAAGAGGCTTGCATATGCTTCTGTGCCTTCTTCAAGAGAACCAGTGTTCACTAGAAACCCTGATATTGTTACACTGATATGTTTTATGTTCATCTTCGACAAACACCTGGATACAGTGGTACACAATAATTCCACCTTTGACGCGTCTGAGACATGGGATTTTCCCCTTAAGTTCTGCCGCTAGTGTATTGAAATGCTATCTTCTTCATAGAAGACTCATCTTCACCTTTAGGGCTGGAATCTTGTGCTTCATTACTCTTGTTTTGGGTAACCTGGTAAAACTTAGTATGTGTAATTACCATATTAAGGGGGTGTTTGGTATGACAAATGGAAATGGAGTGGAAAGGAAACAAATAAGTGGGAGGAAATGAATCATTTAACTCTTACCTTTCCATTTGTTTGGTTTAATCATGGAAGGGATCACTTAAAACGTATCTTCCTTCATTTTTGTTTGAGGAGAGTAAGGGTAATTGTTACCTTAGGTTTTAGAGAGTTAACAAATGGGTGGAAAACATTAGCCTTGAGTAATGGTAATTTACCCAAACCTTCCAACCAAACACTTGGTAACGGTAATGGTTTATTTAAATCCGTTTCCAATCAAAAAACACTCCAACCAAACATCCTCTAATTGTTTTATATGCACTCCTCTTTTAAGCAAGTGCACCTAATTGGAAAAAAGAATAATGTTGAGATATTAAATTTAGTATGGACTATGAAGATTATTACAATAAAATATGCACTCCTGTTATTTTTACCTATTCTCCTTTTCATTTTTTGTCTAAATATCATCTCCTATTCTACCCCCTCCCCCCCCCCCCCCCCAACTTTTGTTCTCTTGTCTCCTCTTCAATGCTTCTAGTTTCATTATTACTATCTCCGGCCATTATTTTTTTCCATTGACAATAAGCCCTCACCCACTAACACTTTATCTTTCTAGTTGACTAAGGCCTAAATTTGTAGAGTTGATGTGTTTGAATATCACCATAGATCTATATACTGGCTGGCAAAGACTGTGGCGATGAAATCGATTAGAGTTTTGAAGATAGAGGGACATTAGTCTACAATTTTTCTTCTAATGCTGCTCCATCTATATCTTCCATAGATGGATATATTGGCTCCCTACCCAAGTTGTGACAGGAAAACAAGGTTACAAAAACGTTGACTACCTAGTCATACATGCTTTATTGAGCATAGCACAATGTCTGTGATTTCCCAAGGCGGTTTATAGCTTTAGTATCATATTCTTCTTTATAAGACAGACAGGAAGAATTATCTACTTTTCAACAGCTTTTTTCTGAGTTCTTTTAATGGTGAACTTAATAATAGTCTTGGTATCCTAAGGGGCCTTCAACTAGGAAATCCAGTCTCACCAACTTTCTTTATGTTACTTGAGCTGTTCTCAGAAGTGTAGGCTGACTGACTGAATGCTACCTGTGAGTGGCTCTTAAACAATTCATTTTGTTTCTACCTGATTAGAGAGTAATGTTAAGGTTTGAAGTATGTTACCTTTATAGATTTAGAAAGTACTAGTTTAGATCCCGTGCATGCACGGATATTACTAAGATCCATTTTTACAAATAATTCAAAATATATAATAAGAAATGCAACAAAAACAATTGACATATGATTATGTCTCACATTTTGTGCATGAAAAAAAAATTTAATTGAATAAGTAATTGTATACATATAAGAAATTATAGGTCTCAAAATGATATTAGTTTATACATTTTTTTTGTTTGGATATTAGATTTGTTTTAATATAATTGGGTTCCTTATTGTTGATAATTTATAAATTAGACATGGACATGTTTTCTTTTATTTTCTAAAATAAAATATATTATTTGATTCAACGACAAAAATGGTAATTTAAGATATGTTAGATTTAGTAATAATTAATAAAATAATAAAAAGAATAAAATTGGAAAACAAAAAATTGGAGGGAAAACTTCTTATCAGAGAATGACATGTGTCATTTAAGGTTTCGCCTTTAGTATAGGTTCATAGATTGTTAACATACACCTTTTTATTCTTAGTAAAACGTAGATTGTATACATCTTCTGTGTTTATTGTCAGTGGTAAATAATATCAATAAAATTAGAGTGCTCCTTGTTGTGTTTAACATGTTTATTGGTCATGATTTTTTCTCGGGCTATAAATCCAGTTTGTTGCTTGAAAAGTTGATTGCATCAGTTTTGGAAAACCTTGTGCTTTTACAATTTCATTCTAAAGGATAGATCGACTCTATGAGAGAATTGGAGAAATGGAGGCCCCTTGTCTTAATGAAGGTCTATGAGACCATATGGACTTACAGTGACTACTTCTGTTCTTGAACGTATTTGTTTGTTGTCTCCTACAATTGCGTTAAAAGAGCTTGTAAGTTTTGAAAAGTTATTGGCAGAATTTTCAAGTGGCTCCATGAATATTATGAATGCTAATTTGTACTAGGAGCCTTGTAGAGGGTGCCCCTTGTTATTTGCTTCTTTCAAAATTTTATAAATTCAACTAACTTGGTCTCTTGGGTAGCAAATTTCTTCATTCTTGAAGTGTTGTGGCTTGTGAGGCTCTTTGTAATAAATTGGTCCTTGAGGTTGAGGTCTGTATGTAGGCATATATGTTCCAATTTATCATCAATTTTACGGTTCTTCATATTCTCTCTTTTTCTGTCTTTTGGGTTTTTGGGATATTAGGATCACCAAAGTGATTTTAAGAAGGCCTTATGGCCTATGTTTCCCAGAATGAGCATTCTTGCTGCTGCATGTGTGTCAATATGACACATAAGAATGAGGATTTATAAGTGGAATATGTACCTAAGAACTTGACCTTTAAATTGGACACTTCTGCTGCTATGAACCACAAATAAAAGAGGGTAGGAAGGTTGAGATGATAAAGAAGACTAGAAGAGGCAATCACTCTCTCATTTTGAGGAACTATAAGTGAAATATGTACCTAAGCACTTGACTTTGAATTGGACACTTGTGCCGTTATGAACCACAAACAAAATATGGTAGGGAGGTTGAGATCATAAAGAAGACTAGAAGAAGCAATCTCTCTCTTATCTTGGCCTCTAGGTTATAAGGTTATTGTTCTCGTAAGTTTGACTGGTTTTAATGTAACTATATATGTGTGGGTCAAATAAGGCTTCAATTAAAGTAGCTGACACTGAGTAAAAATATAATTGTTTGGATTTTCTATTTTAAGTTTCCTTGGAAGAATCTCTTTGGCTCTCTTTTCCTTCAATTTAGTTGCATGTTTACAGATTTGATAAAAAATTGTTTTGTAGAATGTAGAATGTGGTGCCTTATTTTTTGCGCCCTGATTGACAAGAGTGTCTTCCTGTTCTTATTTTGCGCCATGCGATTTAAAATGATAGTATTTTGTAGAATTTTTACCCATATTTGACATTCATGCCAAATCTTTATTATATGGTTTGACAATGGGAACCTGGATAATTTAATTTCATAAGGTCTATTTTGATTGATAGGTCATAGGTTTGCTGTACCATGTTGCTTCAAGGTTGTATTGGCTCTTGTGTCTGGTCCGTCCTTGAAGTTGGGCTTTTTAGTGATGTGAGAGTTACATATATTGAACAGTCTATCCTTATTAGTTGAGATCTTCCCTTTTACACAAGAGTTGTACAGTATGCCCTTGAAATTTATTTTTGCCAAATTTGCTACTGAATTATTAAGGACACGCTAGAGGGATTCATTTAGTATCAGAGATGTGGGTGGTGGGGGTGGGCTATGTATCTCTAATGATCCCTAAATTTGCCATTTCATATGATGAATTATAGTATCCAAAAAGTCATGGTTGTGCTATGTAATACCTCATGTCCTCGTGTATCTGAATTTCCTATGTTGGCTCTTAGGATGACCTATCTCTAAAACTATCACCCTAATATGATCTCTAAGGATGATGTCCCCATAATGTTACCTGATTGTGGTTTTGGGGTGATGTACCACTTGTCTCGAGCTCTTGCTAAAGGAGTGATGGGTTACCTTGCACTTTGTTGTGACAACTAATGGTAGATTCTATTTTAAGGCTCCCAGGTAATGTTTGGCTAGTTGCCAAATCCAGTTACAGACTTACAGTTTCTGATTTTATTACATGAGAGTAGTTGGAGCATAAGGATGTTATTGTTTGTGGTACTTATGATATATTTCTATGAGTTGTTTTGAACTAAATTAAAGGATTTATTGGATTGGGTGGGCTAGTCTTATGTTCTTTTGTTCCCCCTCTTCAGCTCTCCCTATTCTTTCTTTCTTTCTTTCTTTTTTGGTTGGTATTTAGGAGGAGTGAAGGACACAATCTTGTTAGCTTCTATTTACACTGATGCATTTTCCCTAATTTATTTCAAATAGATTTAACATGTGATTGGAACTTTTATCTTCCCCCATATATTTGTAATTTTGCCGAAATATTGATTCTTTCTAGTTCTAAATTCATTCCTTAATGGCACTAATCTTTTTCAGGATAGGGCTGTGCTTTTTGGTTTGATGTCATATTTTTTTCTGTTTTGATTGAAGTTATAATTGTGCATACAATCTAAATATGTAGTGGTATTAGTTATTTGAAAAATCAATGAAAGGTGATAAACTCTTTCATCTAGAGGTGCTGGACAATGAAAAATGATGGTTATGTTATACTGGAAATTTTATTAGTGTAGCTTCATGAGTTGGATACTCTGATGATAGAGGGAAGTGGGTAAAAATCAATGAGCTCTCTGCTACCTTTATTATATGCTGTGTGTTTCCTTCTGAGTTAGCTTATTTAAGAGTACCACGGGTTGTTCAAAGGCCAGTCAAAAGATATTTTAGATTTTGTGCCATTGTCTAAATAGTTAAATTGCTGGAGAACAGCCTATTTCCCTTATTTCTCTTTGCCGTTGTATCTTTCAGTGGACATGACTAAGAATATCCTTGCATTATACCTTGTGATTTGAGGATTGGGTAGATAGGACTCATAGGAGGGAAACTTCTGAGCTGAGGTTTGGTCTGTGCACCAGAAGATTTCCATGTTAAAAAGTGTCGCTTGAAACATTTCTATGATTGTGAAATGTGTTGGTTTTCGGAATTTTCTTCCATTCCTCTTTGGAACCAATTTAGTGCGACACTAGGCAATCGGGACGTGAGATCATCTGCAGCCTGTACTCCTTAGAATAGGGATTAGCTGTTTTGGGATAATGCTTCTCAATGGATGTTTCCTGTGCACCTTAATTCCTGTCAAAGTGTACTAGAAATGGGATCAATAGTATTCTTGTGGGAGGATTTTGAATGTCTTATTAATTTCACTTAACTTGGTGCACCTACCTCCACTTAAGCTTAGAACTGCCATGCCGGTCAATTTGGGTGTTACTTTTTGGTTTTGGGTTTATGAATTTGCACATACAATATGGATCTTGTTCAACCTGGGTGAAATAACTGGTCAAATATGGGTTTTTTTTTTTTTTTTGGTTTTTTTTTGTAAAATCCTTTTTTGACATGTTATTTCAGGATTGGGTGAGTTTAATTTGGGTCAGGTATATTTAGGTCTGGTCTTTTTTTGGTTCATGCTAGCTTTCAAAATTATCACATTTGGGTTGAGATATGATCAGTTCTCATCTCCTCAAGCTTTATTAAATTATGGGTCATGTTCAGATTGACTTATCTCTGGTTTGGGTAATCTTATTGCAATTGCATATCACTTGTCTTGAAGTCAAGTTCTTATTTATTCCTTTATTTAGAAACCCTGGGGCATGTAAGTTGTAAACATTTAGTTTAGGCAACAAGTTTATATAAGAAAGGCAATACTTCCTCCGTTCCCTGCAACATGGGTAGGGAGCACGGATTTTAAGAAGAGGAGAGAGGTAGAGAGGAATAAAGATAGGAACCTATGTGATGATGAGAGAGAAAACATGGGTAAATAGGGAAATGTTGCAATATGTGAAACTTCCTAAAATGGTAATTGTTGCAATATTTGTGGAACGGAGGAAGTACTATGCTAGGTTGCCATTATGGGGAACAACTAAACACATCAGTTTAATATGTTTGTAAATTGTAATTGATATTAAAAAAGTGGGCACTTGAATTGTTTTCTGCATCTTCCTGCAAACTATATTTAATTCAGCTTGTTTTGACAAGTCTACTCATACTTAGTAGAGTGCAGAATGCAGAATGAGTATGCTGAAGTTAAGAGATCCGAGATGTCTATAAGTTACTTTATTTGTTGGCATATTGCTGAAAAGAGATTATATAATTAGTCTTGGCTAGTATATCGCTGGCTATTTGGTTGGAATATGGGGTAAGTAATTTTCCTTGGTTACTTTAGGGTACTGAACAGGTTGATTTTGTTGGGTTTTAAAGGCACCTGCTGTTGAAGCACTCTGTAGTATCTCTATTTTATGGCAATCTGGAGGAACTTTGGTGGTTACTCAGATATATTCCAAAAGCATATAAGTTAATGCTAATTGGCTGTAGATGGAACACTTTTTCTCCCCCTCAATCAAGCTAAGCATTTGGCCAAAGCCCTAGTTGACCTTTGTGAGTCTTAGATATAAGTGTTTTTCACACTGTTAAACTAAATGTTGCTTTTAAGGTGGCATCTTATCTGTGAAGATGCAGAGTTGTTAGCGAAAGGTGAATATAGTTCTAGATGTCTTGTGTAGGACAATTTTTTGGCATATTTACATGTAAAAACACATAGGTTTATGAATAACAAGGAGCTAGGGTTCTGCGTAAATTCGTGAACATATTGGTGTATTTGACTAATAATTAAACAATAACATCCAAGCCCATGCTTCTTTCCCATGGAGAATAAAATGGTGGTTCTACCTTGTTGCCCTGGTGTGGGTCGATTTTAAATGACTTGTTTGCTGTAAAATTTCCTCAATGCTCTGCTGTGGCAGATGTGTTATTCAATTTGTAAACGTTGATTTGCTTAAAATAATTGAATGCATGCTAGGAGCATGAGTTCTTGGCTTCTTGCTAAAAGGGCTTTATGTTTGAAGCATGTTCTTCTGTGTTAATCAAAAATGGGTTTTCAGTGGTAGTTGAACATCTGATAAATTGTTTTCAGTGATAGTTGAACACCTGATGCTAAATCATGCTTTGGATGCCCTCACCTATATCCATTTTGTCTGTGATGACCTGCTATTAGCATCAGAGTCTATGATTTTCAACTTTGTGACTAAGGTGCTTTGGTTTTGAAACTAATTTTCTTATTGTTGCTGCATTACAGGAACATGTTAATTGCTGATGCCAGATCTGCGTTTATTTCACAAATTCCTGGATCTTTGAAAGGAAGCCTAATCGAACACATTAGATCATTCAGCAGCCAGAAGTAGCTCATAGTTGTTACTCTCGAATCGCATGGCAGAAGAAGGTATCTGGCACTTTCAAAATTTCATTAGCAGACTCCCATTTAATTTGGAATGGGTTGTAAACTTGTTTGTAATATTCGGGGATGCTTACTATGTGGCCTGCCCCGTATACATGTTATACAGTTGCCGGTGGATGCATATGGAGTAGACAACTATTTTCTGCCTATTCTTCTGCTGAAAGGGATTGCTACTAGTCAGATGGTAATGTTTCAGGGCTGAGATGTAGGCTTTGATGTACAAATCATGAGGTAGGTTTTGCAGTTGGTTTGATGGATATACTAGGAAATTGATGTATTCAGCTGCATGTATAATATCCTTTTTGTTCTTTACTTATCCCATTTTATGGATGTGCAACAATTTTTATCCGTAAAATGTGGCCGGAGAGATGAAATTATACCCCAGCTTTGAGGTTCTGTATTGTTCTGCTCTGGGCAAGTTGCATTTATTTTTTTTTATTTCATTTCTTCAATGCATCTACCTAAGTACTTGTGGCCTATTTTGCTCATAACCTCCAGTTATCAAGGATATTTTGGAAAATACATAAATAACACACTTGAAAATGAATATAAGCATAAAATAAACTGACATAAACATACACGTTAATTACTATTAGCTCATTACCACCATTTATTACTTACTACCTTAGTCGTATGTTTAGCAATTTATTTTCATACGTCCAGTACTTTGGCTGGTTTATCCTTCTTGTAGTGGTGCTATGTTATTTTATAGGAGGAAAATTATATAATGCTTTGTGATGGTTGATTCCCCCCCTCCAGTTCTTTTAAAATTGGCTATTAAGCCTACACGCAAGCATAAATGTTTGGAAAGAATTATAATGATAGGCTTGGTCCTAGAACATGATCTTGTTGCCATTGATCAGTACGTTCAAGCAATCATAATTATCATATTGGCTCGTACTAGAGACTCTTTTGGGCTTTCAGTACCGCGGTTTCAAGATCGTTCTCCCATATTTCAATCGTTTAAAAATAACTGCAATAGTTGAATATAGGTTCACGAGGGTAAAAAACATTTGACATGTTTTACAAGTAAGGTTGGTCGGAAAATTAATAAAATACTAAGCAAATGATTTTAGTGAAGAGATAAATATTAAACTAATTATCTTGTAAGTTATTTAATTATATAGCTCTTTTACTGAGCTGGATAAACTAATACAACATCCTAGAAGTAGCCAAGTTTAAGAAAGTAAAGAGATGAGAATAAAGGAAAGTTCTAGTGCTTTAACAACTCAAATACCAAACTCTAGGATGTTCTTCTTTGTTCTTCATTCATCCCTTTAAAATAGCAAGAATATATTTCAACACAAACCACTTTATAGTTTATATTTCATACAAATTGGAAAAGAAAAAAAAAAAAACAGGTGTGAATTTCAGACTAAGTAAGAAAAAAGCAAGAAAAATGGGAGAAGTGATACTGTTGGACTACTGGTCAAGTCCATTTGGGATGAGAGTTAGGATTGCATTAGCTGAAAAAAATGTAGAGTATGAAGAAAGAGAAGAAAATCTTAACAACAAAAGTCCACTTCTTTCGAAGATGAATCCTGTTCACAAGCAAATCCCTGTTTTAATTCACGAAGGGAAGCCTGTGTGTGAATCTATGATCATTGTTCAATATATTGATGAAGTTTGGGCACATAAGGCTCCCCTATTGCCCTCTGATCCTTATGAGAGGGCGAATGCTCGGTTTTGGGTTGACTACATCGACAAGAAAGTAAGTTTTCTCGTCTGTAGTTTGTTACATTGTCTTCACCCTTCATAAGTGGTAGTGATCACTTTGACGGAGTTGTGACATGTTAGTAAAAACACAGCATAGCTATGTAGTACAATATTAAGTATGTGTGACTAACTTAATTTCGGAATTGCTGCAGATATACAACATAGGGAAGTTAGTGTGGGCTTCTGAAGGTGAAGTGCAAGAGGCAGCAAAGAGGGAACTAGTGATGTGCTTCAAATTGTTGGAGACAGAGCTTGGTAACAACCGTTTCTTTGGAGGTGAAAATCTAAACATTGTTGATATAGCTCTTATACCATTTTACAGTTGGTTTTACGCCCTTGAAACATGTGGCAACTTCAGCCTTGTGGAAGAATGTCCGCACTTGGTGGCATGGGCTAAGAGGTGTATGGAAAGAGGAAGCGTTTCCAAGTCTCTTCCCGATCAATTTAAAGTTTATACTCACCTGTTGGAGCTAAGAAAGCAGCATCTTGCTGAGCTCAAAGGCTAATTGAATTTCATTGTATCATGTTTTTTAGGGTGCTTTTTTGTTTTGTTTTGTTTTCTTTTTTTCCTCCTTTTCTTAAATTTTTTGTTAATGTTTTTCGTATAAACTTTCTAAGTTTGAAAATTATGCTACCCTACCAATGTTTTATGTAGACAAGTTAATCGTGAAACATGTACTTAATAAAGAGGGACTAGTATGTGTGTAGGTCTTGTAAATGTGTTCCTTTAATATTAGTACAGTTTTAACTTGTTTTATTAAAAAACAGCAAGTAAAAAGACTTTTCTATGTTAATTCATAATTGGGTTTTTACTCGAATACTCTATTATAGGCAAGCAAAATGCTGAAAACAAAGATGTTTATTCATATATAGATTGTAATACATGGTCTTGTTGATTACTACATTCATGATTTTGTTGGTACATAAAACAAAGCTGCCTCTTAAGTAAGAATGTAAATTCTTACAAATTTCAATACTTCCAGTTACTCGATTCCCAAATGTTGTTTCCTTACCCCCAAGATCAGTTCAGAAATTTTGTGCATTTCAGGAAGAGAGTTCTTCACAGCTTCTCTTTGTTCACAACGTTTCGCCCAAGCTATAATCTTAGGACACTCTGCTTCAATACTGAAATTACCACAACTTTCATATGTATGAAACCAAGAGTAAAATGGAATAAGAGCGATGTCCACAAACCCAAAGTGATCACCTCCGAAGTAGCATTTATCTCCGAGTTCTTCCTCTAACAACTTCAGATTTTCAATGAACTCCGATTTTGCTGTCTCTCTTTCAGTGCTTTCCTTTGTTTTCCACAATGTTTTACTTGCTGGATAAAACTGCGTAAAACAGCAAAAGTGGTGAATTAATTACAGGTTTATAATTCACTTAATTAAACAAATGTATGAAGTATCTAATCATAAACCATTTTAGAAAAATCCATTACAAGGTATAACCACTGATTGATCTGAATTAGCAATTCTTACAAAAAAAGTAAACCATTATCATTGTTTTTTTTGGGGCTAATAGAGGCTCTAGAATTAGTATTGAAACAACGAGGCATCTCAACATTAGTAGCAAAGTAATTTTTGTACCCTGATTCAATTATTGCACCATTTCGAATTTCAAGTTTGTCAACACATAATTTTACATATTGATATTTCTTTTGTATTGTCCCTTAAATTGAGATAGTATTGTTCACTCACTCTCCTTTAACCAATACATCTATACAAATCTAACAACATCATACTCCGTAATTATCTTATTTTAAGAATACACATGTATAATTTTATAGAGCTCAATTTCCAAAGACCTACATAAGCATCTTTCAAAACTTCTTAGTAGCAAAACTTAGGTCAAATAGGATGTATTATGATTAAATTTTTTTATTGAAGACTCAAAACATTATCATTAAGCTAAAACAACACTCTTTAAAATTTTTTTTTACATAATTATATAAACTTCAGAAAATTGAACCATAAGATTAGTAATAAATAGAACGTACCTTTTTGTCAATATAGTCAGCCCAAAATTTAGATTGAGATTTCTGGTAAGGATCAGAGGGCAAAAAAGGAATTTCACCTTTCCAAACTTCATCAATGTACTCTACAATTATCAATGACTCACAAATGGGTTTTCCATGATGAATTAGAACTGGGATTAATTTGTGAACAGGGTTCATATCTAGCAACAATGAGCTTTTTTTGTCACTCATAAGATCTTCTACTCTGCAATCATAATCAGTGATGTTTTTCTCAGCTAATGCTATTTTGGGTCTCATACAAAACATGCTTGCCCAGAAATCAATTAGTATTAGCTGCTCATCTGCCATGGTTGAAGTTTTTTGAGTGTGTGTGTGGAAAAAGTATGACTCACTGCTATGTGGGTTACACACACACATATATAGCACAATTAATTTCTTTGCAAGTTACATGAATTAAATACTTTGTACGGACTTTTTTTTTTTTTTTTTTTTTAAAAGTAAGATGAATAGACATTACTCCCTCCGTGTTTTTTTTAAGGGAAAAATTGCATTTATTAATCCCAACTTTGCACAATTTCATTTTATAATCCCAACTTTGGAATATTCTGCAATAATCCCAACTTTGATATGGGCTTTCATTCTTCAATCTCAAAAACCGATAACCTAATGAAAGGGTTAAATTTTTTTTTTTAGTCACGTGTCACTTGTTAATTGCTTCAAAAAATTAAAATAAATAAATTAAATTAAATAAATTAAAAAAAAAACAGAAAAATCAATAATTAAAATTAAAAATTAAAAAACTGAAAGATTAAAATTAAAAAAAAAACTCTCCTCCCTGCCAACCACCCCCATCCTCCTAGCCTAGCCGGAATCCGCCGCCACTTCGCAGAAACCTCCCCTTTCCCCCTTCCTCTCCGACGAAAACAACCACCTTCCTTCCCCCACCCCCGAAACTACCCCCTCTCTTCCCCCCACCCCCGAAATCGCCTCAAACCAACCCTCAAGCATGCGCGAAACCACCACCCTCCCACCTGCCTCCCCGCTCGCGAAACCACCCTAACCTCCCTCCCCGCTCGCGAAACCACCCCAACCTCCCTCCTTATCTTCTTTTCCGCCTAGATTTGTAGTTGTTGGTGGTTTTGGTGGCGAAGGGGGCTGGAGTTTCAATGGTTGCAGGAGAAGTTAGGGATGAAAATGGTGGCTTGATGGTGGTTTCAAGAGAAGAAGGTGGGGGCTGTGAGTGGTTTTGGGGAAAGAGAGTGAGGCTGCGGGTGGTTTTGGGGGAATTTGGTGGTTTTCGGTGGGATTGGAGAGGGAGATGGTGGTTTCCGGTGGGGGCTAGGGAGGAGGCGGTGGGGCTGCGGTGGGATGGAGGTGCCTGGCTGGTTTTTGTGGGTTTTTTTTTTTTTTTTTTTAAAAAAAAAAATAATTTGGACCAATCAGGACTTGACATGTGTCAAGTGACCTGGTGCAACAGGTTAAGAAACCGGTTGGGTATGAGGAATGAAAGCCCATATCAAAGTTGGGATTATTACAGAATATTCCAAAGTTGAGATTAATAAAATGAAATTGTGCAAAGTTGGGATTAATAAATGCAATTTTTCCTTTTTTTAAGTGTCACACTTTAATTGTCACATAATTATAGGCAATTTAATTGACTTAAATTAAATAAGAAATAATTGGGATAGTTGGAGTATTAAAAAATTATAAATGAAAGATAGTAGGTTAATAATTTATTAAAAAGTAATGAATATGAAAGTAAGGAAATAATAAAAAAGATAGTAGTGAATTTGAGTTAGAACTATAAGAGGGGAGATATATAATATTAAAATGTAACTTTGTTGTTAAAATACGAACACATTTAGTAAGCGTAAAACTTAAAAAACACAGAGGGAGTAGAAAATTGTTTTTGCAAAAGGAATTCTTAATGTTTCAAAAGAAAAATAGTAAACAAACTAGAACTATCCCCTTCTTTTTTTAAGTGTTACTCTTAGAAGTGAATTAATCTACTAAAAAATACAAAAAAATTTAAGTGGGTAGTTGGGGTATTAAAGAAAAAATAAAATAGTATGGTTAATATTTTATTGAAAAATAAGGGATGTGATTAGTTTACAAAAAAAAAAGTAAGGGAAGTGATAGGGAAATAAATAATTAAAAAATAGTAGTGAGTTTGAGAAGGGACCATGGGACGAGAGAGAAATAATATTAAAATGGGTAAGTTTACCCCAAAAAAAAAAAGAAGTGAAACTCTTACAAAAAATATTCCACATTTGGTAAGTGTAACACTTAAAATAACAGAATGAGTATTACAAACATCAATGTCCATACTACGAGATACTAAATGACCTATATTAGCTATCCAATGGTTGTAATTTCTGCTATGAATATTTTGGTGTTGTCGAGGTTGAATGTAGATCCATTGACGAGCGCTCCACTGCTATGTCTGATGATGACTCCTCCTGTACTGAACTATTGTGAGCCCATCCTTCGAATTTGAGTTTGATGATGAAGTTGTTAGGAGATGTCTTCCATGATATAAGAATTGATGATGTGGAATGATTATGAGAAGAACGATAAGGAGATCTAGGAATGGGAGATCCCATGAAGAAAAATGTATCCACTACACTAACACATTTTATAATTAAAAGATATTAAAAAAAATTACGCCAATTTTGCTCAAGCTATTTTAAATTCAAGTTTATTCGTGTTCAAATCGGATTGGGTCACTTTGAGTATTAGGTAACTTTTAGATAAGGTAAAGTCAGATCGAGTCACTTTGGGTATTGAGTCAAAAGCGAGTTGTTTCGGGGTCTTTTGATGTGTCCTGCGGGAGAGTTACAACACCAGAACTAGTAGCCGACTGCCTGTACCTGCAAAAGCACGGAGACTCCGGTTGGTTGGAGTTTCGCCTCCGACGATCAAGTTAGAATACGTCTGAGTGAGTAAGGATGCGGAAAGTAAATAGTCTCTCGGGTTCTGGGAGATTCTGCAATTAATATTGCTCGGTATTTGTATTTTGTATTTATGACTGGGCATGAATGTCCAATAAATGAGGATTTTTCTCTATTTATAGTAGAAGGGGAGCTGTCCCCCTATTAGGGTTACTCTGCCACGTGTCAGCATCCGATTGGATCCCATTGGGCCTTTAAGGGGCTGACACGTGTCAGCAAGCTATTGGGCCACGTGGCATGGGTAATTTCACTCCAAACATTTTCCCCTCACAGGTGTCACGTGGCTTGCCACGTGGCACCTGTGACACGTGTCATGCTCTGGGAAGGCGACGGTTTGTCTCCTTCCCTCCATTTTTTTTTTCGAATTCAAATTTGAAAAGAGGAGGCGACGGTTCGCCTTCTGGGTTTCCTTATAAATAGGAACCACCCTCCTCTCATTCCACACTTTTGTAAATTTTTTAAGAGAATCTTCTTGAGAGAAAAAGAGAGAATTCTAATCCCGGCTGCTCTTGCACTCCAATAACTCCTTTGATTCAGATACATCCGGTTACCGGTTGAGTGCTTCTTTGATCATCTCACTAAGGTACCGTCTGACTTTGTCAATTTCTGCTCTTGTTTTCAAATAGAGCCCTAGCCGGTTTTACACCGTCTGGGGCATCTTTTAAGCAGTTCCTTTCATAGATTGCATTCAATAGACTCGCAGCCGGTCTTATACCGCCTGGGGCATCTTTGAGCAGTCTTCAAAAATTACATCCAACAGATCCACAACCGGTATTATACCGTTTGGGGCGTCTTTGAGCAATTTTCTTCAATACCTGCATTCATCAGACCCACAGCCGGACTTGTGCCGTCTGAGGCACTTTTGAGCAGTTTCTTCATAAATTGTTTGCAATAAACCCTCAGCCGTTCTTATACCGCCCGGGGTATCTTTGAGCGAGTATCTTCAAAATAACCTGACTGTTTGTTTTGTTTTTC